CCAACAGTAAAAAATGCTATCGAACAATGAGGGGGCACAGCAATAAAGGATGTTAATCGCTTAATATATAAAGGCAAGTCGAAAGGATCCTTTCTCCCCAATTCACTCGAGTGAATGAAGCTATTTTAAAATTAAACCATTAGCGATGGGCAAATGCGGGCTGTGAATGGGAGAAAAGGTTCACCATTGGATTTTATACGAGATGCAAACGTTCAAGCTCAACAGATAAAACAGACCAAAACAGAACAGGAACCTGCAGCTGCGCTACGCTCACCTGCTCAAATTGTAGAGGGGGTCATTCCCAACCGCCAAAATTCGATGTATTTAAACAATCAAATATTAAATCAAACCTGTCTGTTTCGCATATTTCGATTGTCAAACGAACTTAAAGACCTTAAAACACATGCAGTTTTCGGAAATACGCATCTAGCGGAGGGTCGTGCTTCAGCTTGAACTTTGGAAGATGTAAGAAGAGGAATTGTGCCCCTTATTTATTGTCAGTACCGAAGAGACTACCCGAATAGATAAAGTCAAAGGCATGGAATCATGATGTTACGACCTGACGTTAAATCGAAAAACCTACGAAATAACATATTAAGTCGACTCCAGAACTCACGGTGTATTAATCCCAAGGCCGTTAAGTGCAATGTCCATTTGCGCCCCAAAAAGTGGCGGGCAGAGGAACTGTCACTGGTGGGTGGATTTCTTCATATGTATAGCCTTCCTTGTTTTTTTATCTTCCCCACTCTCTCCTCTCTCATCAATATGTACTTACCTTCAATACACGGTCGTGAGAATCGGAGGTGGGATCGGGTGTAGTGACCGTTAAATCTAAACTGGCAGTATACGCGTACCAAAAATGCCTGGTCCATACACGAGGGACTATATTTCACATAAATAAGCGAACGTGATTGCTACGACTCTAACTGAATGACAGTGTGGTAGAGCCATCCCGAAAAATTGCCTTTCCCAACTAAAAATGCCGCTATCATCCCAAGTTAAATCCAAGAATATGGCTACCAAAAGGAGTGGAACCTTGTAGTGGTGCAGAAGGATGTGCGGGAGGAATGGGTTGGGTAAGCGATTGTGGTAATGGCGTAGGACTGAGTGGGGCCGGATAGGGCATG